TAAAAAATGTGTAAACTGTGTACAAAGACCACTGGCCTACTTCATGCTGTCGGCAGGGTTCTTTGAAATCAATTTGATTTTTCTGAAGGTTTTATAGTTTGATGGTTAATTTTTTATTTATAATTTTTTTATTATAATCTTTTTATTTAATATAATTAATATTAAAATATATATATATATAGTTAAAAAAATTTTTTTGATTTAACATATTTGCCGCTATTGGGTTTACACATTACATTGCTTTACTGGCAGTAATCAGATGTGGGTGTGACTGTTGATTTTTAGGTCAATATTTCAAAACACTAAATTTAATTACAGGTAATTCATGATTTTGGGGGTTAAGTATTTTTATTTTTTTTTTTTACATAAATCCAGGTGCTTTAGTTATCCTATTTCCTCATTTAAGTGAAAATTAAAGCAGCATTTTTTTCTCAGGTTATCCTTATCTGATAGTAATATTTACTTGAAGATCTGAGACAAACAAAATGTTTTAGAAATGAATTTTTAGTTCCTATATATAAAAAGTATTTTCTTTAAAAGAGCCAGATGTGGACGCAGTGGCTGAGAATCTCTCACCTTCTAACCTTGCTGCCCCCACCTTACCGACTGCCGCCGTAATAAATGTGCTGCCAGTTCTCCCCGCTGTGGCTGTCTGAGGGCTGACCACATATTATATGGTAACCTATCTAAAGTGGACTGCATATTATATAGTAGCCTATTTGCTGAGATGATGAGCTCCGGACACCTCCACCATTATTTATAAGGAAGGACTGCAGCGGTGTGAGCCTGGGTGGCCGCAGTTGGCAGGTGTGTACGTCAAGATGGACAAAACGACAGGAGGAAAATTTAAAAGAAAAGAAAGTAGAAACTAAAAAAAATTCAAGCACTCAATATCAATATTTTTAACTCAGCTTGCTGAATGGAATGGAGCTTCCTTTGAACATTCCTGTAAACATTTGTCATCCTACACCCCCACTGACAACAAGTGCTGCAAAACAGAAAAAAAAATGTTTGTCTAAATAAAAAATAGCTGACTAGAGTTTATAGCAAAGTGCTTTGCTTCTTTGAAAAATGACTGAAATCCTCCATGTTCTAACAGGGGTCAGCCTGCTTTGTTAGGTGTGTTCTCCTGGTGCACAAGACAAATGATGTACTTTGCCTTGGGTCAACTGGGCTTTCCCATCCCATAATGACCTTTCAGGGAGCTGGAAGAGAATAGGTGTTCCCATAGCGATGAAGTACGCAACACATCAAATGTGTGCAATGGCAAACTAATGTTTTTAGTACAGCAGTATGACCTCCCAACCTCTAATGGACTGTTTTCCCGTTCATAAATCAAACAAAAACTGCAGCTGAGCATGGTGACAAAAAAGGAAAAAGGAGTTTCTGTTAGGTTCTTTTATGAAATCTTATGATATGGTAACCAAAGAGGGATCCAAAGTTGTTTTCAGTTAAGTTACATTACATTACATTACGCACAACTTGCCACTCTGCCAAAGAATAATCCTAGCAGGTTTCTGTGTGTGTGTGTGTGTAAAGGTTCCCTGAAGGAGAGAAGATCTCTGTCAGTTTGTCATCACACACAAGCTGCCAAATTTTATGAAATACCAAATTACTAATTGGCCCAGCATTAGGTTTCCTGCCAAGAAGTGAGATTGTAATATCTAGGCCTCTATTAGGATCACAGAGAGAAGCCCTCTCATCCGGTCCCCTACTGTTCTGGCAAGCCTCTGCCATTTCGCAGCATGCTGGCAGAAATGAAGGACAAAAGGCATCTCAAACACAACCAAATGCTCCAACTTTAACATTATATTCAAAGTTTTAAAACTGGACCTCCATTATACGATCTGACACTTATGAATTTGACGTTGGTTTCTTATGGGAGTGTCTCAGCTTATAGCAACATGAATGAGTCTTAAACATTATTTTCTGTATGTTTTACTTCCAGAAATTATTTCACAATTTTTTTTTGTTATGCTTTGTTTAAAATAAAGGCAATTTTTATTTTGTTGTATTTAGCAAGCTCCTAGTTCTTACTAGCTGTAAATCTTCGAGTGCTCTAAGAGTGCCAACAACAAGCCAAATTTAGTTGAAATGGTTCAGCTGGTTTGCCTGCACGTCTTTGTATTTCAGTCAGTTTGTGAGGCTATTGATTCCCTGATAGAGAGACAGACTCACACCAACATGCATCCTACACCATACTTAAAGATCCTGTGCATGGGCAATTCTAGACGGGGCTGCTAAATTAATTTATTATAATGATATGTGCTGAAAGAAGAGACCATAACCCAATCCCCCCTTGGGTACAGTTAACTTCAAAATTTACTTCAAAAAAAAGCCTAGGCGGAAGTTCAAATAAATAAACAGAATCCCAATGCTCAATCAGAGGCTCATCCCTCTTCAAGCAAACCAATCAGCATTGGACTGCATCTCCTTTCAAGTCCAATCAGCATTTAGAGTCCAGTTAAAAATAGTTTCAAACCCACACCTCAGCCTGATATCAAACCAAACTCCTTGGTTTGGTAGCTCACATACATTTAGCTCACATGTAAGATTTTCACTAAAGCAAACCTGATTCTAATTTCCTCCATTCTCTTCTCAACCATTGTGGCCAACCTCCACATGGCTTCTTCTCTATTTAGCTGCTGCCCTGTTCCCTATGGTTCTAGCAGAGATTTCCTTCGAAAGGGAGTTTTTTTCTCTCCACTGTCGCTTCAAACTTGCTCATCATGGAGGTTTCCGCAAACCTGTGTCCTATTCCAGCTGTCATCCATCTTCATTCCATCTCTTTTCCACCAGAATTCCTCCCTTTTCTCATTCATCAGCTAATACATATCATGTAAATTCAATGTATGATGTAAATTTCAGTGCTAAAGTTTACCGCCGAGGTCAGAGACTTTAAACATTGTATCAATAAAACTTTTCTAATTGCCTTCTTACTTTGTGCGAGTTTTTCAGGTTAAAATTGCAGTTTGTTTTTTACAGAGATAGGATCACAGTTTTCATCTGTCAGATAGAGTCTGCAGACTTGGCTTTGTAACTCCTTTAATGTAATAAATGTGTTCCTGCTTTTTTGTTTGGTCCATGTAAAAACACTGACATCACCCTGATCCCCCCCTGTTTATTTCATCTAGAATCGCCACTGGTCGCAGGTCATGCTTTTTAAAGGCATAAATATATATAAAGAAATATGTATATAGCCTTCGGTGCTATAAGACTAATATTTAATTTTATATCAGTTGGTTTCTTACAACCTAAATAGAAGACACTTGCTTTCTCTGTGACACTGCCCCTTTGCATGATGTTGCCCTGAAGTTGCTGCAGCATGGTATCATCATATTTTAGGCAATTAGGCTTTTCTCCAGGCAGACTGAACAAAGTTTGAAACCTCTTGCAGAAGAACAAAAAAACTGTCGCTGTCACTGTGGAGATCAGTTGCTAAAAGAGCTTATTTGTCTCAAAGATTAGCAGAAATTATCTTATGTGATCATAGACAGTCGGGGTGTTGTTTACTGAGCTGGCGCAGCACGATCAAATTAGCTGCTTGCGAGAAATGACAGGCATGCATAGACCAGTGATGATCACTCGTTTCACAGGACAGGAAGAGCCTGAGCAGAATTTGTGGGAATTAGGCTGACATGTCATTTAAAATACCATCCATCCATTTTCTGTCACGCTTTATCACAGCTGGGGTCATGAGGGTTGCTGCTGCCAATCTTCAGCTATGTTCAAGCAAGAGGCCGGGTACACCCTTAACAGGTTGCCAGTCCATCGCAGAGCATTCAAAATACCATTTTGGGCGTAATTCAATAAGGAAGAGGCATTATCACAATAAAAGACAAATACATTTTTAATGTTATAGGCCCTTTAACAGTAAGCTTGATGCATTTCACGATCTCTTTTCCTTCACCAAAACATTGTAATCTGAGTCTCATCTGACCAAAATACGGGGTTCCAGTTAGATACCCAGAGGTGTTGAGCAAACCCAGTGCTTAATGGTAACTCTTCTGAATGTAGGCAAAGTTTAATGGTAGTTATGGATGTGCTTTTTTTTTTTAATCATTCGTTTAGTTTTTTCTTTTATTAACAGTAAGATGGAGATTTTCTTGTGTCTCACTTAGCATTCTGCTCCTTACATGTAAAAATCGATATAGAAAAGTAGACATGGGAACCTGTGGCCATATAGGAAACTATAAGGTTACCAATCAATACAAAGTTTAAATTATGAGTTAAACTGAATTGTTGGGAGTAAAAATCCTTTTTCCACCAATCATTTTGTATAAGATAATTTCTAAACATTGGATTATTTCACCTCAATTAATAGCTTGATTTTCCTTCATATTTCAGTGAGACCATTGTTTAGCTAAATCAGATGAATTAATTTTGAGGTCTTTTACACGTCTTCACCAGGGGGTGCCAATAAATGTGGCCCACGCTATAAATAGGACTCTCTAAGGTAATGAATATTCAAACCAAAAAGGAAGGATTTGGTTGAAGGCGACTTTGCATAAAAAGACAGCAAGGCTGCAAATCACCATGTAATCACATGCCGTAAAAAATTAATGCTAATGTATCACATAAAACATTTAATCACCAATTTCAATCATTGAAGGAAAAAGAAAATCTGTTATAACACAAAACATATTCATTCACAAGTAGGATCTTAAATTCATCAATTTACAGACTTTAAATTAGTGAATGTGTGAGTGACCACTTCTCCAAATTCATGTTATACCAAAAAGACTGCTGTTAATTTTCTGTTTAGCAGCAATCCAGTTTCTTTTTTTTCCCAGGACTCCTAATCAAACATGCCTTGGGCCACTAGATGGATAAACACACACAGATAGATTTTGGCAACAATTCAACTCCTCTCTGAAGCGGTGCAATGGGAGGGAGAAAGGGTTGGCTGACAAACCACACAAACACAAATCACTGTAATTACTAAATACATAGTTTATTGTAAAAAGAGATGAACCCTTTCATCCAGAAATATGATTATGGCAGTTGACAGTGTTGCTATTCAGAGGTACAAATAAATATGTACAACTTAAAATGCTTATCACATGACCAGACATACCACTTTTGTTGGCAAATTACCAGGAAAGTATGAAAACCACTTTTAGAAAGCCATTTATTAAGCAAAAAAAAACAACAATTCTGTCCGTTTTCTGGCACATCCGAGGGCAAAAAGGATTTTCTCAAATAGTTTGACTTTTTTCTGTCATATATGGTGGGCGACAATCATTTTAGACATGACACACATTAATACGTCTCTATGTTTTACTTCCAAGAGTTCATTTCTCTTCCAACCACTCAAGGGTCTGAGTTAAATCCAGTGCAAAACTGTGCAATTTGGTTAACTAAGGAGCTGGCTTCCCTTTAGAGGGTCTAATAAGTCCTCCCAGCTTCACTCAATGTGGGGAATGTTTCTGTGGGGATCTAACGCCTGCTATACAAAACCCCACCAGGCACAGAATCCTTTTAAAAACATTTTACACTTCCTTCATTTTGCTGCCATACAGTGCTTCCAGCTAACCAGCAGTGTTCTGGTATTGGATATAAACTGGATCCAGCAACTCCCTGAACCGCAGTTTAATCATGTCAGCTGCTTGTAAGGCTGATTGGAGGTCAAACCCTGTATAACCCATCCGTGGCTCAATAATGATGGTGATGTTGCACCGTTGCTCAGGCACATGCTTCCGCTCATCCTCTGGAAAACGTGTGCCGACGCGAGACGTGGAGCGGTCGGAAGCAGTCTGCCTGTGCAGGACTTTACCCAGACGGTAGGGAGGCCTCCTATACGTTCTGTGAGAGAAATCGGACTTTTTTTCTTGTCAGCAGCCAGCTCCTGACATCCTTGATGGAGGGGAGATTCATTTTGTCTTTGTTTTTACTGTAAACATTCAAGAAGATACCAAAGACCACCAGAAGGCCTCCCCAGATGTACCTGAAAAAGGCAAGGAGAGTATTCAGGGTGCTGATAAGAGGGCTATTTGTTTAATCGCTGCCTAAGATAAACCAGGTAAAGGTGACTTTTACTACAAGGAGTGTTGGTCAAAGGTTTAAACAAGAACTTCCTAGAAATGTTGGTCTTTTCACTGTGGGATCATAAGAGAAAAAGTTTTGATGAGTTCAAAGGATTTGATTAATAATTTGCTGATTTTAAAAAAATCTAATATTTACACGGTTTTTAATATACAGACAGCATGAATCGATCCATACTGTAGATTCTAACTAACTTTACATCAAATGTGTCCTATTGGATTTGGTTTGGCATTGATGGGGCTGTGATTGAAAAAACAAAAAAGCAAAAACTTTTTTTTATCTCTAAAGCAACATTCTTTGGAACCAGGTAAGCTGAGAAACAAAAGGAGCTCTTCTCTATTCACGTATGACTGTTGCCATGGACATTTATCCAGCTCTCTTGATAAATAAGAAGAAGTGTTTAGGGTCAGAAGAGACACTAGTTCTGACTTTTGGCCACTAGGACACACAAAATGGGCGAATTAAGGGGAGGAAAAATAAAAAGTGGGAGGAGTAATGAAAGAGGAGGACAATCAACTGATTCTTTAAAGAGCAACAGCTGAATAGTTCAAATATCGACATCATTTCATGTTCCAACAGGAACAAGATGACAAACACAAAAAAATATGGTTTTGGAAACGATAAAGCCTTCTGGATTGATCCTGACCTCATCACTCAGAGAAAGGTATAGACAAATTAAAAAGACCGACCTGTACATAACATAAGTGATCATATGTGCATCTAGAAGCTTTCTGACAGCTACAGAAAACATTTAACTAGATATAATAATTTTCCTTTTAAGAGAAGGCAGCACATAACAAACAGCAACAGCAAATGTATTAAGTTGGAAGAAAAACAGCTGGAAGCATGAATCTGGCCAGGTTACACAAAAGTTTGTTGTTAAGATATGTAGACATGTATGTCAAGAGTCAACAAAGAAACAGAGCTAGAGGTGTGAAGAAAATCAGTCCCCTCTGACAGCAGCAGAGAGCTAAGAAGATAAAGGGTGAAGGACGAGGATGAGGAGCTGAGGAGTCCGGTTCTGAGGTGAGGGCATGAAAGCCGAGGAGGTCAAATCCGAGATTTCTCCAGCAATGAGATCAGTGGCAGCTCTATGTACTGAAATTTTTAACAAGGGAGAAGGGCAAAAAAGTGAAAAGGTGATGTTACTTACTGAAAAGTGAAAGGTTTGGTGAAGAACATGAAGGAAAGTACGATGGTCATGGCCTTTCTTCCAGTGGTCACTGGAAAAGAACCGACAGGACTGCTTTTAGAATTCTGTAGTAAATCACCAACTGATGTAAAAAGTTTAACACTAAGCACTTTCTGACCTTAGTTTCAGTAATGAGAGTATGATAAATTTAACTTAAATCTGTTCACCATCTTTAATGCAGCATATATCAGGACAAATCAGATAAAATTCAAGTGATCCTTCCTAAACTTAAAAAGTACAGCTTCAGCAAAACATTGCAAATTTAAAAAAGAAAAATCCAACATTTACATCCACTTTGTTTGAAGTTTATTAAATTTACTATGACTAATGAAGAAGACTAAGCGGACATTTCCATAGTTTTTCTTACCAGTTGAACTATTTATAACTTGTCACATCAAGACCATCATGGTTTTGTTGCATTTTATTAACTGCTGATAAATATTTTCAATATTTACAGCGATTAGAAATATAACTGCAGAGAGAATCTGACAGGGCAGGAAAAAAAATATTATTTGGTGTCTGACCTGTTACTGCAACCAGGGCGCCAAACAGCTTGATTAAGGCTAGCACAAAGGAGATCCCAAAATAACCCGTAAGAGAGAAGAAGAAGGCATAACCGTAAGTCTTAACAGGATGCTGCAAGAGAGAACACAAGAGTCAAGTTAACAAAGGTGTCTTGTCTGAGCTCTTGTCAGTGTGTTGAAAATCAGATGCCTAATTTCCTAAAGGATAAATTAAAAGAGGCATTTAGAATCAGAATACGGTCATTTGGATTATCTAAAAAAAATACATGCAGCAAACATAGCGAGGGACATGCAGACTTCCAGGATATTCACCTCTGAGCAGAAAGCCACAGCTGGTCCCAGCCCACCCACACACAGCAAGCCTCCCAGTATGTAGATGAAACCGATAGAGTACGAGTACAGCACCTGTGAACACAGAGCTAAGTGATGAATCAGTGATGTCACACCTGGAGTTAGTGTCGAGTTTCAGTTAAAACACACATCAGCTGTGCTAAAGTTCCTGTATTTACCTCCAAAAAATACAGGAAAAATAACATATTCAAACTGCATTAGGATTGTATAAAAGGACATTTATGAAAACGTTAAAATTTGAATCAAAGACCTTCTTTGGTGGGAAGAGAAACAGACAAACTATTTTAGTTTTAACAAAAAAGTTGCACAATGTTGGTTCCCACACCTTCAATGCTTTGGATGCAGTCACTGTCTCCCTTCCAGTTCCAACATAAACTCCTCTGATTGGTTAACACACGGCATCAAGGCTCCAAAATGTTCCGATTTTCCAACTCGAGCGTCTGATGCTTCGGACACCCTTGATGGGCGTCAGCTATTGAAACATTCTGCGCTCACTGTTGAAAATGCTTCGGCAAACGCTGCGCAATGCGGTTAAAATGCACAGCTGGACCTAACGACACTGTGGTTCCAAAGCTCCCACCGATGTAGAACCATAACCTGGACAACCTGCACAATTTGGGCTGCACGGTGGGGAAGTTTTGTGGCGCTGTTGCCTTGCAACGATAACGTTCTGAGTTGTATTCCCCTTCCAGGCTCTTTCTGCATGTTCTCCCCATGCATGCATGGGTTCTCTGTGGGTATTTTGACTTCCTCCCAAAGCCAAATGTCATGATTGTACTTGGGTGTGAGTGTGCATAGTTGTATGTTTCGGTTTGTCTCTGTGTTGCCTTGTGATAGACTAGCGACCTGTCCAGGGTGTACCCCGTCTCTTGCCCACAGACTGTCGCAGATACGTACCAACCCACCGCGACCCTGATAAAATAAGATAAGGAAGATGAATGGGTTGTCCATAACATGGGGCGCAGCATCTGCATTTAGACTGACAGGAGGCGCAGCTCTGTGACAATGACTGCAGCTCTACTTATTTTAAATTTACAAAAAGCGTCTGTTCAGTAATTTTGTTAGCCGTTTTAAAATTTGACCCAGTCATTTTTTTGTGAATATTGCGCCCAGCCTTTGCTTTCATACAAACACAGAACACAGCTGGAACTTTAACCAGTTTGCTTTATCCCACCATGCCTCACAAATAAGCTTATTGGCATGTTGGTGAGAGCTGAGTGATTGTTAGGAAGCAGCATCTTGGTGACCTTTAATATTTTGCTCTTTACTCCAGTTCTAAAACTTTATATTTCCCTTCCATTCTGTCTGCTACCTTTACTGCTAAGATAAATCTGGATCCTTGTCCTGCTTAATGCTCAATGGGTGAAAGAAATGGTTCTTTGTATCATTTTGGATTTATACATCACAGACATAGCTTACACAGATTAGTGAGGAAAAGTCTCTAAAAACTGATCAACTTATTAAAAAAACAACATTAGATTTATTTTAAAAGGGGTACTTACCAGCAAATTTCTCAACAGTAATCTCAAGTTTCCCTACTAGCCAAATAAAACTGTCTGACTGAAATTTACTGACTTTTTGTTGCTGTAATGAAAAGATTCATTTACTCTGAGGCTTTTAGCTCCCCTTTCCTGCCTTCTAACAGATTTATCCATACCTGTGTATTTTGGTCTTCTAGTAATATAAAACAGCTACCATTTCAGAGTTGGATCCATTATGGAGCTTCATGGCTTTCTCCTGCACATTTCCAATCACAGCATCAGCACACAGAGCCATGGAGATGAGCACGACACCTGCAAGAAAAACACACACAGTTAAAAAAAAATGGGTAAAGACAAGGTAAAAAAAAACAAAGGGTTAAATTCATACTCTACATACAAGAAAGAAAATAAAAATCTGATCCTAAGAGCTAGGCTTAATTTATACACCATGTAAAGATCAGGAGTGGACCAGAAAGAGCTGAATTTCCATGCACCAAATAATAAAATAAAAAAATAATAAAAAAAACTGCATATTAGATTTAAATTTGATATGTTTGTTCTGTAAGACATTGATGGTAAGTCTAATTGGTGCTGTAGTTAGTCATCTGTATAAGAAACGAAGACAGATCCTAAAATAATTAGATATTAGCTTTTTATCTCAGATTTTCAGAAAGGCATAGCTCTTGCAGTTATACGAAAACAGGTTAAGAAGAAATATGATTGAAACCAGCTAACTGACAGTAAGAATTGTACTTGAATCATTAATAACAAACAGTGAACCCACTTTTAAAGTCTATTCTATGTTGGCTAACCTGCTGACATTTAAAACTTTCTGTGAAAATCAATGATGGATGCAGGTAGATCCTTTATCCTTCATAGGGCACTCAGTGAAATACAAATAAATTTCAAAATGTGTTATTGGAGGACAGGAAAGGATCTTACTACTTTTGTAACATTAAAATAAAAGTATTTTCATGGCAAGCATCAAGGTTAATGTAATTCCAAGAATGTTCCTAATATGGTAAAGAAAAAAATCCAAAGTTTATCTTTAAGAAATTTTTGAAAAATCAGCGTGAAAGAAACAAACTTTTTGGTTACAACATAACCCTCAGAATATCATTCTTTTTACTTATTAACTTACCGTAATTTTCGGACTATAAGCCGCGACTTTTTTGCCATTTTTCGACCTTGCGGCTTATATAACAATGCGGCTTATCTATGGACTTTTACAGCTAAAGGCCACCAGGGTAATACCTAAATCTATGGATTTTATCATCCACCATGTTGACGTCACATTTGCTTCAAAACACAAGTACGGTAGCCTTGCGCGGGGGAACGCGGAGGTCCTCCGGAAGCAGACTTCTACCGCAAGTGGTACGAGACAGAACAACAGCGAGAAAGACGGACATTAAACATAAAAAACCTGCGGCTTATAGTCCAGTGCGGCTTGTATATGTACAAATCATGCAATTTAGCTTCTGCGGCTTATATTCAGGTGCGGCTAATGGTCCGAAAATTACGATAGTTTATTAAATTTCTTTCCAATTAGCTTAGTAAATTTTTTACTTATTACATTTTTAAACTCTTTTTAACACTACTTTACAAAAGAGAAGATAATCACACACAACAGGCAACATTAGATTAGTGCCGTTATTCTATGAAGCATTTATGCTCAGTTTAAGACAGAGTCGGACCCTGCAGACCATATTGACCTCCCAGTTTTACCTTATTTGCTGCAGGGCGGTGTTTATATCAGAGTTACCAAAACTAGTAACTTGGGCGACAAAAGGTTAAGGAATTACCTGTAACATTGAAGTTTGGAGCAACTTTGCTGTCAGCTAGGGTAAACCAGATGAGTCCCAGACTCATGCAGAGAGCAGCAGACACATCAGTCAGGTTATATCGTTTACCTTGAACACAAAAACACACACAATAACCTCATTAAAATGATACACAAATATATTTTGTAAACTTGTTAAAAAAGTATAATTATGGCACGTTAAAATTATTACCGTAATAGTTAATGAAACCAGATGGATATATGAGTAATAAAAAGTTTTTCTCCAAGTATTTCATACAATTGAAAAGTTTTTGAGGATATGCAAAAAAAAAACAATAGGGGAGAAAATGCATCGGAACAGGAAAGCAAGGGAGAAAAACAACAAGATGAAAACAGACTGACGGATGGGTGCCTTAAGGTTGACAAGAGGACGTAGCATCAGGTTAGTTGTGGTCGGCTTTGATTCCCCTTCTTGCCTTTGAAGGGCCTCACATCAGATGCAACCCCTAAAACCCCTCCCAACATTCACCCACATCCTTCTCTTCCACTCTCTTTCCTTCTTGCACTCCAAGTGAACAAATGTTTTTTACTCTACCCCTTAAGGGACCATGGTCTTCACATCTACTCATCGAAATAAGATGAAGGAAACGGGGGCAAAGAAGGAAGCACTGAACTCATCTGACGTTCAGGACATAGAACCTTGAGAAGGCCAGTGCCGCCGACTGAGCTCCGATGGCCGAAAACAACAGAGGTGGATGAAAAAGAGGGACTCAAAGTTGAAAGGTGAAAGATACTTCAAAAGATACCTGTGATCATTAGGAAGAGGTGGAAAAAGTGTCCCACTTTTAAAGTCTACCTGTCTTTACCAATTAAACTTCAACAGATTTATGTCAAATAAAGCAAATGAAATATGGTGATTCACATTCATGCTTATTTATAAATTCCATTACGATTTAATACCTATTAAAATTCAACATCTGAACTATTTTTCCATCTCATATGAATTGGACAAACCCATATTAATTTAAACAGGAAGTGGTTTATGTTTGAGCCAGTGTTGTTTTTGACCGCCATCTTAGATTTAGTCTTAGTCTTCAGGATGAAAACTATTATTAGTCTCATTTACATTTTAGTCATTATGATGTGTGACAGTTTTAGTCATTTTAGTCTAGTTTTATGTTGAAAATGAAAGTTAACCTTTACAATTTCTAATAACAACCAGATTCTTTACCAGGGTGACAGCTCTTGCCTAGATAATTACTAAGTATAGAATGCTGCTGTGCAGTTCATCATTGCTGTTGGCAGAAAACTTTGATTTATAGAATTCAAATAAACTTTTTTAATTAATTAATGCACTACTTTATAAAAGAAGTGTCTCACAAAAGCTGTGAAAATAGCAGATCTAGTTCAATACATCATCTTGGTTAATATAGCAGTCATGCAAGCTAACAAAATGTGCATTTAAGATTTTTTTTAAACATACAATGATTCCATTGTAAAGCAAACACTTCCTGATCTACAATGATTTATGCATTACACAGATCAATAACAATCTTCTTTGCTCCAAAACAAGCAAAGAACAAAAACATTCTTCTTTCTACCTTGGTAGTTCTGGCTTTATTTCTGCGAATGTACCCCTTGTTACCACTGATCAGGGGCCAAAGTAGATTTAAATTCACAGGGTTTTGATATATATATAAAAAATAAAAAAAAAATTACACAGATAACCTCTATAGGCTAATTGCTTTGTAAAGCAATCTGGCAATCCAGACCTAAATTGAATGAATATGCTAACTAAAATGTTTTAATGCCAATACAAGGAAACATTTATATCATATATAAATAGATAGAAACGAGAACAATGAGAGAGAAATATTAAAAGATCTATGTATATTTTCACCTCGGTTTTTATCCAAAAATAAACAGTATGCAATGAAATATTTTATTTGGATATAAATTAGGGATTCCTTTTGGTAAAAATTAAAGAAGGTTTAGTATCACCTCTTGTGAGCTGGAAGAAATAAAATATTGATAGTTAAAGGGATTTTTTTCACTTGGCAGAGGACGATCAGCCACATAGTTTATTAAGTAGCGAGAGCAGGAAGAGCCATACTGCTGAGAGCGAACTATCAGTGTGCAGACTCAGAGCTACTCGCCGTGCAAAGACGCATTTCTGCACAAGCACAGATGAAAGAGAAGGGCAGTTTGTCCGAGTTGAGCACACAGCAAAGGACCGGCTCATATTGCTTAGCAGATTACAGCACGACGATGCTGTTTAAACATCTGACCGACGGCCAGCAAATTTTTTATTAAGTCTCATCTCATTGACGAAAACGCCAATCTATGACTAATCATGTTTTATTAATCAAAGATCCATGTTTAGCTTGTCAGTTTTGTTATCGTCATTAAAAAAGTAGTGTCAATGAAATTATTTCGCCATCATCATCGTTCATGAAAACAACACTGGTTTGAGGTCATCTGTTACACCAACAAAACTTCAAATATAACACTAAGAAAACACCAAGATTAGCTAACCTTGGATAAAAACTCCTCCGATCATGACTGGGATGAGTTTACAGCACTTGAAGATGACCTGGGTGGGGTAGTTCAAGTAGCCTAATGAGGTATTGGATAGTCCCATAGTCCCTACTGTTAGAAATGCAATCATCATATATGTCTTCCCGGGTATCCTAGAGAAAAAGAACGAGAAAGACAATAAAAAAGATAAAGAACATGTCATCAAAAAGGAAATTGATTAACACCCCATCCACAGTAATACATTAATATACACATAATTTCTTTGAATCCTATTCTTAGGATTCTGCTAAGAATAGGATTTGAATTTTCCCTGTTATACCCATGATGCACCAAGAGAAGACACCAACAGCAACTGCACAAAGATCTAAAGAGGACGATCCAGAGGATTTATTTATTTACTTTCTCTCAAAGATCCCAGTTTCTTTTGCTTCTATAACACTGTTAAAATCTTCAGCCAGAGAGTTTTTTAATTTTCATTTAAGGTGAAACAGAAAAGGTTTTACTTCACCATTGCTGTGTTTCCTGGTTTAAAAAAAATGGTGCATACATCCAGCTTATAAGAGTTAATGATACAAGAAATAAAGCCAACAAAAACATGAAAAAAAAACATTCTAGTTAAAACTGCTGTTTTAAACTGTGCTTTAAAAAAAAAACAAAATATAAACAATGTATAAACAATTTAGTTAATGTTTGACCAGATAAACCTCTGTAGCTGAATCAAAGAAGGATGCAACAATAAACAAAAATAATTAATAATTAATTAATAATTTTAGGGGATTTCAATTATAAAATAGTCATAAATCTCAATGTATGTTTTGACAAATTTAAAATATTCTAATTAAAAGAAAATAAATAAAGAAACAAAGGGCCCTTTAGTTTATTACCAGGCAGAAGTTGTAAAGTACAAACAAAGTGTCTCGCTGTTAGTCAGTTGCGGTCTAGTCTTGCTTACAGGGATTTAAAATGATTCATTTCTTGTCTGCCACTAAATAAACATTTTTGTTTTTTTATTCAATAAGGTTAAGTCAAAAAAAATATCCTTAAGTAGAGCCTTTATTAGTTGGCAAATTCTCATATTAGCCTGCCCAACAACAAGTCTCTTTTTACTGTTTAATAAAACTTGGGAGCAAATCAAGAAGCACTTCCTCCCTTTCCTGGAAACCAGAACCTCAGACATAGTCACCTGGCATCAACTGTAAAACAATCCCACTTCTGTGGAACATAAGAGCTGCTTAGATTGATAAGGTAACTAGACAAAAGTTTGAGAAACACCATTTTTATTTAAATACTGTGCCATTTCAATAGATGCCATGCCATAAGATCTTATTATGAAGCCACAGTTTAGAGCTGGGCAATAGAACAATAAAACCATGTCTCACAATAGGCACCTGATCATTGTCAACAGAAAATACATCCAAGGATGTTCCTAAGTTTCACTGAGCTCCAATCCAAAAACACCAAGTAGTCTCGGGGATGTAGGCAGAGGAAAAGTTTTTAGCCTCTCAACCTCTCACGGCCACAATAAAAGCAGGATGAACCTCTATATAAAGGGTTCCTAGTTTCAAATATTAAAACAAAACCCAATCAAAAATTACTTGCCTCAAAAATAAAAAGGCTTAGAACAATTCTTCCCACCCATGTTGTACAGCCCTGTTCAAATTCCTCCTACTACAGAAGAACATCTCAGATTAACTAAATATTTGTGTTTGTGGGGATGGAGCCAAGGAAAAATAATCTTAAATCAAACCATGCATCTGTACCTTCTGCGCTTGTCTTGCGTGAACTGAAGCTCCACAAGTCCAAACATGGAGTAAAAGCCAAACTGCACCAAAGTGAGGTACCAACCAAAAGGTTTAAATCCTTCCACAGAAAATATTAACTCCTAAGGAGAAGGAAAAAAGAACAAAATAGAAATTAATGCAGAGTAAAACCAGAACTAGAACAAGTTCATGCACAAAAATCTGAGAGTAAACAATAGAAGGTTAAAGATTTTAATGCACATTTGTTTCTTTTTTGTCTTTCATCCATGTTACCTGCAAATATCCATAGACAAGATAAAAGAAGAAGACTCCAGCCACACAGATGAAGAACTGTGTTGGGGCACTGAAGCTGCTGAGGTTGATTCCCAGGACCCTCAGCTCCTCCACAGATTTGATGTGAGGTGACATCACCTCTGTGGTCGACGGAATGGTGATTGAGATGTGCTTCCGTGAACTGTTGTAACCCACCAGGCCATATTTGGAGCTCATGGTGTCCGTGGCAGCTGGAATCTGTGGGAACATAAAAATACAGGATGTTTCCGAACAGTCTGGCACAAAAAGTTTTCAACTGTAGGAACATTTCTTTTTTGTGACCCCTTTTATTTGGTTAATCACTTATAGATAGGAATGATGACATCAGGAGTCTTGATCCTGAAGCGATCATAATTTTATTTATTAAAAAATATCAAGTTTCCACCCGATCAATGTAAATGGACTAAAATAACATAATATATTCCATTTATTATAGTCTGCATTATTATTATGATTTAAGGATGCTATAGTATATGTTTTTGTTGACAGAGACAATTCAGTTTTCTTAAGCAGAAGCTTCTGCAGGGTCTGCCCCACACTGCTCAAAAAATAAATAAGAAAATTAGCAGCAATGATGCAAAATAGGTTTGCATCAAGAATAGGGCAGCATAATATGGCCAATACCTATTTAGCCCTAAATTTCTTAATTCATATATTGCACTTTAAACAACAAAAAAAGCCAAATACTGTTAGGAATGCACAAAAATAAATTATATACAATAGCGTCAAAATTAATTAGTTTATAAGGCTCCTCTAATATAATATTTGCTTAAAAAACAAAAACAAATTAAAACTCAGCCAGTGACAAATACTGTAATGTATACTGATGTATAAAAAATTGTGTTTAAAAGTCGTATCACACTTATTAAATAAATCCCTATTGTGAAAACTATTGAAAATAAATTATTGTCCACTCTAATCAAGATGTCAGTCTATCACACCAGTGCGCAACTTTTTACAATGTCCTGTATTCAAAGAAAAAGGCAAACTATTACATTTTAGCAATTCAGCATTTAAACTATATTAAATACTGACTGATGAACAGTTTCTTGTTTTTTCTTAGATTTGTAGACATCTTTATAAAACATAACGAACCAGGAACCTTTTAGGTCAGTGAATAACGGTTGAGAAGCTGATGCTATGCAGCATTGCTAAATGGGCTCCATATAGATGACGGCCAAAGGAGCTTGTCAAGTGTTCATATTTACACACAGGACAGCATAAAGGCCAACCTTGTCACAGTTAAACAATGTAAAATAATCACACACTGGACTTTCTTTGGATCATTTTTACATTTCTCTTCTGTCCAGCACAACCATTTCAACAACTATTAAGACTAACTAAGAAAAAAACGGGTTTCCGTCTTCTGGATGGAAACCAACCAACAGCAATTGGAGGAAGGTTCTTCTGATTAAACGATATCAGTAAATTAACTAGTCACTATGTAAGAAAGCATTATTGGAAAATTAATCAGTTGGTAATTTGTTGGCACCCTAACTATTAATGTCACTGTTTAGTAAAAAGCATCTTGATTGTTTCGGAGTACACAAAGCAAGAGAAAATGTGCACAGCTTGCTGAGCGTGTGGCTGACATAACAATTATGTAATTAAATTATATTTAAATAACACACTTTTTTTAAATTAATATTTTATTTTAAAATAAACCATATAATTGCCCATTCCTAATAGGGACTACTTAAACAAGTCTTGATTTGTAATTTTATAGCATTTCTTTATTTGATTGTGCTGCATAAAATGTATGTTTGCTAAAGAACAAATAGTAGATGTTAAATATAATCAATGATGACCCACATTTTTAATGAGAATGCTCCGATTGCAGGTTTGTGGCTGACATAGAATCAGATTTTGATGGATACCACTGTTCTTTGTAAATAACTTTCAGTTGTTATGTAGGAGCCAATTATTTGTTTTTTAATATTTAAACAAGTATCTTGTTTTTGTGGATAATCTAGCTAAGTTTATTGTCCTTTATTGTTTGATATCTGTTATGATATTATGTTTTTTGGATATTTAGTTATGTTCCTATGTTTCTGGTTAGTCATGATTAATTTGGGTGAATTATTTTTATAAATAGGCTGTCAAGGGTAGGATGAGCATGCATCTGGGTGGGCGTATGTTTTTTTTTATTTTTTACCAGCGCAAAAGAAGCATGGAGGAAATGTTTGTCCTTTTCTGTTTGCTTGCCTGAGGAGAAATAAACTGAGAAAACTAGAGGAGCTTACCTGGTATATTTATTATTTTGCCTGCCTAAATTACTTTTCCATGGTGCATCAGTGGCCTTTGTGGACCTTTTTTTGTGTCATCAAAGCTGGGCCACAACATATATGATCCCAAGATACCTACAATATTTCAATCTTATCTTACCGAAAAACATTGAAACCTTTTAAATAACTGCTATTGTATATAAATGCAATGCTTAGAGCACAGATAGGGGATAATTTACAGACCTTAAAAGAGGCAGACAGGATCAGTGCATCAGATAAATTTCTTATCCAAGTATTTGGCAAATATTGATCTTCCAAAATTTATTAAATTGAGGCTTGATGATCAATTTGTGAAGCCCTATTTGTTGTGCATTAAAACAGAGATCATTTACAAACATTGCTGAAGCAATGTTGCTATATAATACAAGAGAAAAAGTGTTACTGAAGCATATTTCTGCATTTGTCTGATGCATTAAAAGCTGACCAGGTTCAGCCATTATTGATAAACATCTATGTTGCTTGACATTTATTTTTCAGAATGTATCCTGCAAAACTGTTAAATAAAATCATTCAAAAATTACAGATTCTTCCTCATACGTATGTTTTTATCACTTTGCCTACTTTCTTCAAATATATGTATGTGTATATTTTAAAGAAATTATTTTGTAAGATACAGGAAAATAATGTACACAATTGTATTTATCTTATAAAACTGCTAAAATCATTTATCTCATCCTGACAAGAAGCTTCTTAAAAACCTCATTGGCCCAAGACCTAAAAGGAGATTTTAAACGGACTACATTCGTTTACCTCATGATTAACCGAAAGATAAAATAACTATTACGTGTTCTTGATAATGAAATCTGTAAACAATGCTGCTACAACAACCCCGCAAGACCAAAATAATCGATGTTAACTGATTGCGTATAATAAAAAAGGGATTTCGTATTCGCAGCTCTCAGTGTTATCTTATCTCATCTGATATTATCATAGATACTTTAAATACTGCTCTTCGTTGCCGGCTGGGTTAGCTTTAACAGCTAATTGGTTACCTTCAATAGCACTTCCGGGAATCTTTAAGGGTGTTTTTCCTCCTTTTCAGAGGCAATGTTTGAGAAAATCATTCCCCTGGACGTACCGTCTTCATCTTTCATGTAGCCTATACCGTCCCATGATTTGATATTCTAGTGACAAACAGTCCAAATAGAAAAGTAAACCTGTTAGCCTGCTAAAGGCTACCAGCATTTGCTGCAGTGCCAGCATCAGCCAACAACTTCCGGTGAACTCTGAACTCGAACGCCATTGGTTGATGGTGGACACGCGGAGGCAGGTGCTGAGCACTGCGCTGCGCGAGGCCTTTATTTAGTTTTATTCAAATTATTAAAAAGCCCCATTGCTTTGGTTTGAGCAATGAGGGAGAAATTCATTGAAAAAACGAATATTAGATGCAGCTGAAACACTCAAGATAGCGTATATTTGACCAACCTGTGTGCCAGAATCCATGTGAACTTGATGAGTGTGTCTGTGTCCTGCTTTACTAACTACAAACTAAAACCAAAGCAAACAGAACTACAAGTATATCCTGTAAATCCGGTCAGCCGACGTCACAATTCACTACATAATCCTGTGCATGAAATACAGATGCAATCTTATTATTGTCAGAAAGCCAATTAAAACATGAATTTTACATTATATGACGTAGGGTACCTGATTCTAAATTACTATGTCATGCTAAGGGTGTAACTCAACCCAAAAACCTTTCTTTCCATATAAAACTGTTGAGATCTTGCCTATGTGGTGCTATTTTATTGTTTCAGTTTTTCTTTTTTTTTTCCTCAATGTGATTTCAATAAATTGATGTATCATGACAAAAAATACTGGAATTTGCTTTAAAGAACACACCAACAAAAAATTGTCTACAGTGCAATGCTTACATATCAAGACCACTGGTTTGTCTTAAGTAATGATGCAATTATTATTGTAATTTTTTATTCACTCAGCTCAATTTCTTTAAAAATCCTAAAGATAAATTTGATGTTAACATGTTATAAGTTGCTTCAAAGAGTCATATGAAGAAATAGTTTCAGGCTCAGCCAGGAGCAAACCGGCCCATGTGCTAGCAATGGGGCTTTTTAATAATTTGAGTAAAACTAAATAAAGGCCTCGCAAAGTTATGACAGTGTGGCCATGTTGTTTTCGCAAACTTGTATTGCTTCATTGAATTGCCCACCGTATCCTACACAGGAGTTGTCATGATCGCAGCCCCGGTAGCTGATGTAATTACTCCCTTCATTCACCTGCTGTTCCCTCCTTGCACTCTAATTATCATTCATCTTATCCACCTGTTTGGTCTGCTTCATATATATGGTTTAGCCCAGCTATCAGAGCCAGATAATTATTCGTGTGTATTTCTGTTAGTTGTTCATGTTTGTTTTTGAGTTTAGTTAAGTCCCTGGTTCACGTCCTGACTCTTGAGGGCCTGTCTGTCGAGCGGGTATTTGTGTTAGCTATTCTTGTTAGTTTTTCTTATTTGTATGTTTGAGTTTTAGTTAAGTCCTTGGTTCATGTCCCTGCTCTCAGGGGCCAGTGTGTAGAGAGGGTGTCTGTGTTTGTCTCCTGTCTACTGATCGTGTCCAGGCACTTCTCCGTGGTCCCTCTGATTTTTGCTCTGCGTGCAGAGGGAGCTCCGGCTCTGGCTCTTCTCCACAGAGCGCTCTGGTTTTGGATTGGAGTTCAGGGGAGGCCAGTTTTAACTCCCCTCATCCTGGCTCCTAGGAGGAGCCAGTTTAAAGTTCTGCAGTTTTCCTGGTATCATGTCTTGTCTCTGTCCCTCTCAATTACTGGTTGACCCACCTGTCTCAATCTGAGCTTGTCTGTCTGAGCTCGCTGCTAGACTCTTAGAACTCTGTACCTGCCTGAACATTCTGTGGATTCCTGGAAGCCTGGATCTGTGAGTTTCTGTTTGGATCGGAAACCCTAACTGGGTAATGCACTCCTGGATCTCAGAACAGTCCTGTTCTGTACTGTTTTCCTGACCTGGTCTTCTGCCTGCTCACTGGGGTTGCTGTGTCGGGGAAACTCTGGAAGGCTCAGCGCTGCATCTCGTTGGCAGTGCATCGGCTGATCCTGCCTTTCATGAGAGGATGGACTGAATTGTTAAACCAGGTAAGTGATTCACACGGATAATCATCTTTTGTCAGATTATCATGGTCACTTACCTGTGTTTCTCCCACAACCAGAGTGCCAGTGATGAGCGATGCTACGCCTTCCCCTGCAGTCGCTGCAGATCCGCTGATCCTCAGCAGCCCAGTTCTGTTTCTGTGTAAGATTTTGTCATTAAACGTTTTAAAACTTTCCACTGTCTGACTCGCCTGAATACTGAGTCCATCTATCTTGTTTTATGACAGGAGTAGGAATGCTCACAAATGGCTGCAGTTATGTGTTAATGAATATAAGTGGTTTTGGGCAGAAGAATATCATGTATGGGTATTACTGTTGGATATTGATCGCTCTGTATATTTGGATACCTTATTGTCAATGTTGGCTGTTTTCTTGATAATATAACTCTGCTTTTAAAAAAGTAACCAATTTACTACAATGTTGAGTATGGGCAATATCCACTTAAAATCATCCTAATGTTTTAAAGAGTTAAAATTTACAACATTGACAACACCAAATACATAGCTCTAATACTAGCAAAAGTCTTAGTAACAATAATTAACACATGTTGCTCTACAATAGGCTACTTTAGATGAAAATTATTTAGCATAGCTGTTGTTATTATTATTAACAATATGCAGTCAGTCATAATTCATAAAAAGACTTGTTGTCAAATATAATAGAGATACATCTCTAATTAGATATTTTTTTTCCTACTTTTCCTGTAATGCTATAAGCTATGAGGTTATGTTTCATTTTAGCTCCATCAAATGTAAAAAAAGATACTGTAGGAGATCTTTTGTTAAGATATCAATATCCTAACAAATCATCCATGGACATTGCAAGGTTAATATGATCTAAAGCTGGGGAAAATGCAAAAATACTCAGACTGGGAGGAAGAAAATGTCTGTAGCCGGGCTGGATTAGAAGCTACAGCTCACCTAGATTAGACACTTGATAATTACACAATAATACCCACTGCAGTAACCCATTGATCTACTGATGCCATGTGTGAGGAAGTGGACACCCATTGTAGGAGTCTTTGTGTTCATGATCTAATGGTCTTTGTTAAACCTGCGGCCATGTTATGTGGAAAGAGCCTCAGTGCTGATTTAACACTTTCTCTAGCTGAGAGCCACCTCTTTGGGAGGATGTTCTTATTGCTGTGGATCGTTTCTGAGGTAAAGAACTGGTTGGTTTGTAGAGGCAAAACCTGTCCTTGAACACCAGTTGGCTTTGGCAGTTGGCTGCTCACACTGAGCCTGGTTCTGCTGGAGGTTTCTTTCTGTTAAAGGTTTTTTTTTCCTTTCCACTGTTGCTACAAGCATGCTTAGTGTGAGGGATTGCATTCGAGTCAATGAGTCGATGCAATCAACTGGTTTTCCTTAGATAGAAAACTCTGAATCAATTTGACTGTATGATCTTGTTAACTGTAAAGTGCCTTGAGATGACGTGTTGTGATTTGGTGCTATATAAATAAACTGAATTGAATTGAAAACAAGTGTTTTAGCTCTTCTTCATATTGCCTTTTTGGGATAGAAAAGTAGGTCAAATAGCCGAAGCATTTTAGCGAGCTATTGCTTATTTCATTGCATATTAGTATATTTCAGTACCAAAACATTGAAATTATTTGAAATAAAAACTTTTCTGCAGGGTAACCACAAGTTATTTTATCCCATAACAAGTTATTTGTGTCTTGTTTCAACCTTGACCGTTGCTTTCTTCTCATTTCAACAATTCTACCAGGCTTCCTTCTTGTTGCACCCTAACTCTTTCTATATGCTTCCTGCCAGATCCCCTCTGTCTTCACCTGGCTTTCACATGCTTTTGAGCCTTCCTTCCCATTACACTCTACTCTCCCCCTATTATTACATTAATTCCTTCTCAGCATTCTCCGTTGCTTCCCTGTCTCTTGGCCATCTCATATCCCTGCCGCTCCCTCTTTGGCTTCCCCTCTATAAAGCATGAAACTCTGTCTGGCCCATTCGTTTCCCTCCTCCTTCCACTAGTCATCCTCTCTCCACGCCGTCCAGTCTCAAATCGCTCCCTCAGCCTGCCTTCGTTTTTTCCCTCACTCTCACGCTCCCCCTGTCCTCTCTCCCCAGCCAGAGGTTAATACACTCCAGGATGGCATTATTTCCTCCCCGGCCCTCCGACAATATAAAAATTCAGAATGGACAGCTCAATCCCTCTTCCATCTCAGATTTGATTGTAATGGTATTGCCTCCTGTCCCTGGGAGGCCCCTGCTGCCTCGCCAACCCAGCCTTTATGACACTAAATGGCCAGGCTACAATTTTTCCATCTATTCAAAAAATTCTGTTAATAACTCATTTGGAATGAGCCGTCCAGACTCCGTGGACTGACTGCATCCAGGGCTCTCACCTCTCGGCTCACAGGGGTCGCAATATACAAAAAGGGATGCAGGGCTGAATGGCAAATGCACTGGTTAATTAATCTCTCTGAATTTACAGCTCTCTTTTCCCCAAAAGCCCAGTGCACTCCAACTGACAGTCCCAAAGAGACAACATTTTCATATTTACAACCTTTCATGGAGAAAGTGCTCAGCCTTGCACAGCAGAGGCACGGGCTTGTCAGACCACTTTTCCTTTCGCCTTGTCCAACTTTACAAGTGCGCCCTTTCATCATGCATGATAGATTTATGTAATAAAACCCATTTCCCTTTTCCATACCACCCTATTAAATAATAAAATAATTATTTATTGATTATTCAAAAAGGTACATATGTGTGGGTAATGACTTCTGAGCATGCTACTGGACCTTCAATAAATAAAGCAGACAGGAAGGAAAAAAGGGAAATAAAGTAGAGAAAGAGGGATAGAGGAAATAAGAGATGAAGGGGGATGACTTTTGAACCAGTAAAATCTGGATCCAATTCGGGCCTCTTGGAAAACAGATCAGGAGGGACGTTATTGGATTTTCAACAGCCTTGTATAAGAATGCAATGTATAATGTGTTTTTACACTGTATGAAGACAACTAGGACAAAGGCTTGGTCACTTTTGCATTTTTACATTTTAATTTAAGAGGAGTTAACACTACATGCATCTTTAATTTTTTTAAACTTTACTATTGAAAAGAGATGTGACCCGATTGAATA